CGCGCCATTGCACTAAAAAAAAAAAAAAAAAAAAAAAAAAAAAAAAAAAAGCAACAGATATAGCTAATGCTATCTTGTCCCATCATTTGCAAATCCATGGTCTCCATTAATTTTAAAACTACCCTATGAGGTTAGTATCACTGCCTTCACTTAACAATTGAGGCTAGGGCTGGGCGCGGTGGCTTATACCTATAATCCCAGCACTTTGGGAGGCTGAAGCAAGTGGATCACAAGGTCAGGAGTTCACGACCAGCTTGGCCAAGACGGTAAAACCCTGTCTCTACTAAAAATACAAAAATTAGCCAAGCATTGGTGGCGAGTGCCTGTAATCCCAGCTACTAGGGAGGCTGAGGAAGAGAACTGCTTGAACCTGGGAGGTGGAGGTTGCAGTGAGCTGAGATCAGGCCACTGCACTCCAGGTTGGGCAATACTGTGAGACTCCATCTCAAAACAAAAAAACAATTGAGGCTAGAGCAAAGTTAATTGTCCCAAGTGGAAGCACTAAGTTACCCCCAGTGCCATCCTCACCTGCTGCCCTTGCTCACACCTATTGCAGAGACTCAGTCACCTAAATGCTGCCAGGAACCACAGTCTTCCCTTCATCTCTGGCAATGAGACCCAAAAAGTGGCAGGACTGGGAGACAGGGGATGCCCCTAGCAAACTATATAAGCTGCCTTCCAATCCATACCTGTCTCCTTTTGATCTGCGCTTCTGCATGTTCTTCCCCTTTGGCCGCCTCTCACTCCCAATGCAGAACACCCCACCAGGTCCAGTGACACGGATGGATTCCAGACCCTTGGCTGACTTCTTAAAGGTGAACTCCACGGCCTCACCCTCCTTCAAGCTCCGGAAGCCCTCCATGTGCAGCTTACTCTGGTGAAGGGAAACGCAGAAAATTTTAACATAGTTTACATTATTATACCAAAAGACAAGGAACACACTTATTCCTGTAGGGTAGGAAGATTAAATGTGATGATACTCCTATTTTACTGGTAAGGAAACTGACTCAAAGAGTCACCATGATTAAGAACTACAGAAGTCTACTAGTACATTAACAAAAATCATAATTATATAAGCAGATACCACTTTTTAGCTATTCAGATTTAAAGTTCTTAATAAATCAGAACAGGGGGGCTCATGTCTGTAATCCCAGCACTTTGGGAGGTGGAGGCGAGTGGATCACCTGAGGTCAGGAGTTTGAGACCAGCTTGGCCAACACGGTGAAATTCCATTTCTACTAAAAATACAAAAAATTAGCCAGGCATGGTGGCAAGCGCCTGTAATCCTAGCTAGTTGGGAAGCTGAGGCAGGAGAATTGCTTGAACACAGGAAGCAGATGTTGCAGTGAACCGAGATCACACTCCAGCCTCGGTGACAGAGAGAGACTGTTTCAAAAAAAAAGAGAAAAATTTCTAAATATAAATATTTATAAGAAATCAACAGGCCAGGCGCGGTGGCTCAAGCCTGTAATCCCAGCACTTTGGGAGGCCGAGGCGGGTGGATCACGAGGTCAAGAGATCGAGACCATCCTGGTCAACATGGTGAAACCCCGTCTCTACTAAAACTACAAAAAATTAGCTGGGCATGGTGGCACGTGCCTGTAATCCCAGCTACTCAGGAGGCTGAGGCAGGAGAATTGCCTGAACCCAGGAGGCGAAGGTTGCGGTGAGCCGAGATCGCGCCATTGCACTCCAGCCTGGGTAACAAGAGCGAAACTCCGTCTCAAAAAAAAAAAAAAAAAAAAGAAATCAACAAATATAAAATTACAAAATTTAAGGTGTCACGCTATAGAGGTTGCAGTGAGTCATAAACTGTGATGGCGCCTTTACACTCCCAGCCTGGGTGACACAGTGAGACTTCATCTCAAAATAAATAAAATAAAAATAAAGTGTCATGCTATAAAGCACTGAAACATTTATTTTTCACATAATGCCTCCCTTAGTATTTATACCATCATCAAAAAACCAAATAAGTAGAATACTTATACCACTGCCTGGGTGACAGAGCGAGCCTCTGTCTCCAACAACAAGAGGGTGGAGAGGGCAGGCACGGTGGCTCACCCCTGGAATCCCAATGGAGGTGGGAACACCGCTTGAGCCCAGGGGCCGGAGGTTGTAGTGAGCCAATATTATGTCACTGCACTCCAGCCTGGGTGACAGAGTGAGACCCTGTCTCCGAAACAAACAAAAACATCAAAACCCTCAGAATATATTTAACAAGGTAAAAAGCCTATATGAGGAAAAAGCTCAAATTATATTAAAGAAAAAAATGAAAAATATACCACCATCTTGGATTGGACGATTCAGTGATTCTAAAAGCTATGGGAAAATATAAAGTGCCAAGAATACCAGATATTACAATTTACTTTAAATTGGATATAATTAGCAGATTAGCAACTATAAAGGGAAAAACAGCAAGTTTACAGTAGAGAAAACTGGCAGATAATACCCTAGTCAATTTCTTTGAGTTTAGCTTTGCCTACAGTGGGACACATGTATCTCTTCACTAAGGACATATGACTTTAAAAATGCACATCCTGAATCTAAACTTGAGGGAACATCAGACGAGTCCAAACTGAGGGACATTCCTATAAAACAGGATTTCAAAAATGTCAAGGTCATAAAAAGACAGCCTGAAGAACTGAACAGTTCAATGCAATCCAAGATTCCAGATTAGATCTTGAAACAGGAAAAAAAATAGGACAATTGACAAAATTTACATATAGTATATAGATAAACGTATTGGTGTTTAATTTCCTGATTATGATTACTGTACTGAAATTATGTAAGATTAACATTCCCAGCCAGGCACAGTGGCTCACGTGTGTAATCCCCAGCACTGTGGGAGGCCGAGGTGGGTGGATTGCTTGAGCCCAGGAGTTCAAGACCATCTTGGGCAACATGGCAAAAACCTGTCTCGACAAAATAACACAAAAATTAGCCAGGCATGGTGGTGCATACCTGTAGTCACAGCTACTGGGGATGCTGAGGTGTGAGGATCCCCTGAGCCCAGGAGGCAGAGGTTACAGTGAGTAGAAATCATACCACTGTGCTCCAGGCTGGGTGACAGAGTGAGATCCTGTCTCAAAAACAAAAGAAGATCAATATTCCCATTCTTAGAAAATACACACTGAAATATTTAGAAATAAAAGTGCTTACTGTCTCCACCTTATGGTTAAAAATAAAAGAATAAAACTATCTCTACCAAGATAGAGAGTGACAATACCCAACACCCCCACATAACCTTTACCCAGATTCTTAAGAATCTGGGTAAAGGTTATGTGGGGGTGTTGGGTATTGTTCTTGCAGCCTTTTTAAAGTTTGAAATTATATCAAAATAATGTTACTGAAAGACAGTATAACCCAAGCAGATGGATCAGGGGATTAAAATGGAAAATCGCAGAGAGAGATCTGAGAATAATATATGGAGAGATCAATAGGTAAGGAAAATAATTCAATAAATGCTGCTATAAAAATTAAATCCATTTGGAAAGGAAGCCAGATTCCTATACACTTTGTATGATACATATGCAAAATACATTTCAGAGGATTTAAACACCTCATTGTTCAGAAAAATGCTAAAAATTTAAGATGGATAATCAGACTAATAAAGCTATAAAAACATACCATAATCAGTAAGAAAAAAGAACTACACAACATAAGTAGATATAAGAAGGAAGTCTTAGCACCACACATATACTCGGTATCTCATTGTTGGTTAAAAAAAAAATGGAGGGGTCAGGCCAGGTGGCTTATGCCTGTAATCCCAGCACTTTGGGAGGCTGAGGTAGGTGGATCACAAGGTCAGGAGTCTGAGACCAGCCTGACCAACATGGTAAAACCCTGTCTCTACTAAAAATACAAGAATTAGCTGGGCGTGGTGGCATACACCTGGAATCCCAGCTGTTCGGGAAGCTGAGACAGGAGAATCGCTTGAACCCAGGAGGAGGAGGTTGCAGTGAGCCAGGATCGCACCGCTGCCCCCCACAGCCTGGTGACAGAATGAGACTCAAAAAAAGGAAATATGCCGGGTGCGGTGGCTCATGCCTGTAATCCTAGCATTTTGGGAGGCTGAGGTGGGCAGATCACAAGGTCAAGGGATCAAGACCATCCTAGCCAACATGGTGAAATACCGTTTCTACTAAAAATACAAAAATCAGCTGGGTGTGGTGGTGCACACCTATAATCCCAGCTACTCAGGAGGCTGAGGCAGGAGAATCACTTGAACCCGTGAGACAGAGGTTGCAATAAGCTGAGATTGCACCACTGCACTCCAGCCTGGTGACAGTGCAAGACTCTGTCTCAAACAAACATACAAACAAACAAAAAAAAAGGAAATAATCTACCAGTTTATTTGAAGGGAAACGGTTGAATAAATATGGTACACTCATAATAATGAATACCATGCAGCCATTAAAAACAATGTAAAGTCTCTTGTTTGTTGACAGCCACATTTTGGTACCTGAAATCATGCCTAGCATATTTTGAATGAATTAATGAACCAAGAGGCAGATTTTTAATCATTCAGCTGACAAAGACAATCAAATAATATTGTTAAAGAAGGAAAAAAAGAGCTAGAACAATATGTATGGAATAATCCCATTAGAACACTGCATGTTTATACCAAAATTTAAGAACACTGATACTTATAAAGCAGTTAGCAAACAGCCAGCAGCCACCAAGAAAAAGAAAAAAAGAAGTTATTCATACAGCTAGTTTTGCAGCAAAGCCAGGGTCAGACGAACCCAGACTTCCTGATTTAAAGTTCAGAGCACATTCTATCATGTCACTTACTGTACCACCGACTTGACATTAGTGGAGGTGACAGCATTTCAGACCCCAGAATAGACTTTATTACAGCTTCATCTATTATAGTAAAACAACAGTGTGTCAAATATGTCAACAAAGAGTAGTCATCATAGAAAATGGAGGAGCAAAAGGGATCACTGTGCGTTTACCTAGTCCTGGCTCAAGGGAACATCAGTAAGTAGCATTAGTATTTTATTTTGGTGCCTTAGTGGGGAGTATTCCAAACTGGAACTGAGATAAAACATGCTCTTCAGCAAGATGGGAAACATAGATTACTCAATCACTTACATTTTTCATGTTTTGTTGTTGTCATTTTGCGATAGGGTCTCGCTCTGTCACCCAGGCTGGAGTGCAGTGGTGCCATCTTTCCTCACTGTAACCTCCACCTCCCAAGTTCAAGCAATTCTTCTGCTTCAGCCTCCCCAGTAGCTAGGATTACAGGTGCCTGCCACCACGCCTGGCTAATTTTTGCATTTTTAGTAGAGGTGAGGTTTCACCATATTGGACAGGCTGGTCTTGAGCTCCTGACCTCATGATCTGCCTCAGCCTCCCAAAGTTTGGGATTACCGGTGTGAGCTGCCGTGCCTGGGTAATTTTTGTATTAAGATGATATTGCAGGCTGGGAGTGGTGGTTCATGCCTGTAATCCCAGCACTTTGGGAGGCTAAGGCTGGAGGATCACTTGAGCCCAGGAGTTTGAGACCAGCCTGAGGAAGACAGTGAGATGCCCCTCCCCCATCTCTACAGCATCACAAAATTAGCAAGGTGTGGTGGTGGTGTGCACATGTAGTCTCAGCTACAGGTTAAAAAAAAATTCAGGTCAAGGCTGCAGTACACCTAGATTGCACCACAGCACTCTAGCCTGGGGACAAGAGACTCTGTCTCAAAAGAAAAAAAAAAAAAGACAGTATTGCAAAAGATAAATTTCCATTTTAGATAATTGGTTAAGACCATAGGCTCTGGAGCCAGACACATCCTGGCTCATGTAATACTGGTTCTGTCAATTACTGGCTGTGTGACCTTGGTCAGTCACTCACCTCTGGGCCTCAGATCCTTCAGAGAATGG